ATAATAAAAACAACTTTTGCCTTGGAGGTATGGTCAAATTTGTAACCAAAATCCAGTTAAAAGTCAAAAACCAAAACTTTTTTTTTTTTTTTTTTTTGAATATGTTCGGCCAAACACGTTCGGGTGGCGTTCGGCCGAACACCCGAACATGTTCGGACGTTCGGAAAAGCTCCGAACATGTTCAGTGTGCTACAAAGATCGCCACATTTAAATATAAGGCTCGATTTGGGCACATCTTAGTGAACACAAAATTGTCCAACTGCAAAAAAAAAAAAAAGAACTCATTTTTTCCTGTCGCTTGGGCACCCCGGGCGGGTCCCCCCCCAAGGTAGGTTTGTCAGGGTTACCCAGTTGGGCGACTCTATAAAGTCTAGTTACAAATTACATATCCCCCGCGGTCATGACCGATGGGTCAAACTCGGATTGTTGTCGGGATCCCGCCCGCCGGCCATGACCCGGGCGGTCGAGCACGACCGAGAATTTGTCATACTTTAAAAAAATAATAATACAAAAAAAAAATGTGGTAGGGTTTGAAAAGCCCTACAAGCTACAACCTGTAACAACCATATATATATATATTTAGATTTAAAAGTGTTTTTTTTTTTTTTAATCGAAAATAAAACAACAAGTATTCTAATCAAAATAAACGTAATAAAAAATGGGAGTTTTTGTTTTTTATTTTTCTATGATTGCTGGTGGGATAAACATGGTGCACATGTGTCTTTGGTTCTTTTTCTTATAACAAATGCAAAGATAAAAGATAAAAATATATAATAATGGAAAAAAAAATAAAGACGTTTTTTTTTTTTTTTTCCGTTTTAAACACACATATATAGATTGATTGCTTGCTTGATTAATTTTGATTGATTGATTGATTGATTGGTTGATTGATTGATTGATTGATTGATTAATTGATTGATTGATAGAAAAAAACGAGCACGAACGCGCATGTTGTGTGTGTGCGTGTATGTTTGTGTATGCGTGTGTGTGCGCGGGGGGGGGGGGGAAGGGAGGTTGGGAGGCCCCTCCCCCAACAATCTATCAATCAATCAATCAATCAATCAATCAATCAAAATGAAAAAAAGTATATAAAAAAAGAACGGGTTCTTATATGACAAAGTGTGTGTGTGTGTGTGTGAGCAGGTGGGTGGGGGGAAGGTTGGGAGACCCCTCCCCCACCAATCTATCAATCAATCAATCAATCGATCAATCAAAATATATATTTTTTTTAATTATTTTTTTAAGTGGGTTCCCCTATGACAGAGTGTGTGTGTGTGTGTGTGCAGCGGGGCGGCGGGAGGTTGGGAGAGCCCTCCCCCATCAATCAATCAATCAATCAAAAAAATAAAATAAAAAAATCAATCAATAAAAAAATCAATCAGTCAGTCAATCAGATATACGAATTCGATCAATCAATCAATCAATTAAGATTATTTTTTTTTAATTGTTTTTCACCCATCAAGCCCCCCCCACCCGGAAAACGTTTTTTTTTTACCTTTGTTTTTTCTAGGGGGTAGGATCGAGGTTCTGGAACCCCAATACGCAACCCCCACCCCCAAAACCTTCCCCTTCTAGCCGCTACGCGGCTGCAAAAATCTTCACGGACGGGGTCATGACTGCAAACCGCGGTCGTGACTGCGGCGACCGTGGCCGGGAGGGATTCGTAGGTTACATACATATAACATCAATCTATCTGGTAAAAAATAGGTCCGACATTCAAAAGAAAGCAGTAAATTGTCGGAATGAAGTGTTAGAAACACATTCCAACGTCCTAAGAATCACACAAAACTTTTTCTTGCCGCAAACTATGTATGTCGCCTTGAAAAAGTACGCTTACTACTATGAATCCCCCCCCGTGATGACCGTGGGGTCTGTCTCGGATTGCGGTCGGGATCCCGACCGCAGGCCATGGGTCAGCGGGTGGGTGCGACCGAGAATTTCACATATTTTTTAAAACAAAATTCATGGACCAAACAAAAAACAAAACATATGGGGGTGTAGGGTTTGAAAATACCTACAACCCTATATTTGTTTTTTAAGTGTCTTTTATTTAAAAAATTAAAAAAAATAGAAAATAAATAAATAAATATTTTAATCAAAACAAATGTAAAAAAAAGACCTTTTTATTTTTTGTGCGTGTGTGTGTGTGTGTACATGTGGGGGGGGGAAGGACGACCCCTTCCCCACCAATCAATCAATCAATCAATCAACCTATCAACCAACCAACCAATCAATCAATCAATCAATCAATCAATCAATCAACCAATCAATACCAATCAATCAATCATCCAAATAATCAATCAATAAATAAATCTGAAACGGCATTCACCTGTTAGCAGTAGCGAACGCAGCTCCCAGGGCTCGATCCCTGGTTCTCACCTTACCTGTGTACAATACCTGTGTCGACCCCGAGAGTTGAACCCGTGACCTGTGTGTTCGCATCAATTGGTAGGCTGTCGTAGGTCCGTAGGTCGTAGGGGTTCGAGCTGTAGACCTATTGGGTAGGAGTCTTAGTGAGTTCTAGAAGTCGTAGTTGTAGGAGTTCTGAAAGGTCAAGGTCGTAGCTGCTATCGTCCTAAAAGGTCAAGGTCTTAGCTGCTACAGTGTCGAAGGGCCAAGTCCACAGAAGTGACCCTCCAAACGTTGCTCACAACAGTCCAGAGGCAAGTGGGCAAGTAGTGGAGTCCACCTGTGCTGAGTCAGCTGTACCAAGTCCCAGTCTCACTAAGTCCAGTCTGCAAGTACCATGTGGGACTGTGTGCACTCAGGGCCCGGTGGACAGAGGCAGACCAACGAGTCACAAAAGTATAAATCAAGAGGCAACGCCCAGTCATTCATTCATTCCTACGTAAGTCATGCGGAAACGCTGCTTGAGCGACTTGTGCGAGATGGTCTGCAAAGCGTCCGAAGATGAAGTGGGCAAAGTAGAGGTTGAGTAGCCATAGCCATCGTAGGTGATAGGCGAGTGTGGTGTGTGCGTGTGCGTGAGACAATGTGTCGCGTGTGGGATATCCAGGGTGATCCTGAGTGGAGTGTGTGTGAACAACGGGGTTAAGCACACTTACGAACAGAGAGTTGTACAGGCGCTGACGCGTCATAGCCTGTTGAAGCGAGCGTGTATCTGAACTGTGTTTCCGACTTCCATATCTCTGAGCTTTGAGTGAGCGTTGAGCGCCAGTGTGACTTGTCATCTGTTTGCATGCATGCGAAGTAAAAGAGAAAGCGAGTCTGATTGCCTTGGTATCGGAGCTGGTACCCGCTATTCCACGCGCCATCACCGTGAAGAAGAAGTCCGCCATAGCTGATTTGCGAAAGAAGAACGACGCGGCTCGCACCTGCAAAGAAGACAATCAAGAGAGAGAGAGAGAGAGAGAGAGAGAGAGAGAGAGAGAGAGAGAGAGAGAGAGAGAGAGAAAGAGAGAGAGAGTTGACAACGACCCCCAGTTGGGAGCTGGTTCAGAGGCAGGCAGCGTAGAGGCTTCAGAGGGTGGAGTAGTCGCTGCCGTAAATCAACAAAAAGGTAAGGGGACTGGTAGACGTCGAGGAGGCTCCCGGTCCAGGAGTCAAGTTGACCCCAATGCTCCTCCATGGGAAAAATTGGCTCTCACTGAGGACGTGTGGAGAGACCGATACACCCGGCAAGCTTGTATTCGTTGCGGTCAATATGGCCATAACCAATTCAAGTGCAGTAACAAGAAGGTTACCGAGAAGATCCCGTCTACTATGGGGCAGGCGGTAGGATCCTCCGCTTCCGTTGGTAGCAACGTTGCCAGTACTTCAGGCACTGCTCCGGGAAACACGTCGGGCCAGTAGGAATAGTAGCTGTTCCTGCTAAGGTCGAAGTGGTGGACACACCCTCACCATCTCAAGAGATGGCCCAAGCTTCTGACTCCCCAGTCGTCCCGCAAACACATTCGGACCCATCGACCCTCTGTTCGAGGAATATGTTTGAGTCCTTAGAGGAGCTAGAGGAGGAGTGGTCTAAGTCAGACCCACTAGCTTCTTGGATGGCACTAGTTGAAGCTCCTAAGGCTGAGATGTTCGTCAGTGAGATAGTCATTGCCAGACCGGGGCCTATTACGACACTTGCTCGACGAGGAATTTCATTAGTCGCACGTGCGTTGAGAGACTGCGCTTACAGGGGCGAGTGCAACGCCTGAGTCGATATGGTAGTTAACGACCTGTGCCAACAAACAGCGCATGGTAGTTAACGACTACCTTCAGGACGTTGAGTGCCTGTTCCCGTACGCGAGAGGGGAATTGAGGCATCGCATCTCATTCCTGGTGAGCGACGATCTCCCCATGGACATCTTGTTAGGTATGTACTACCTCTCGGTTGCACAGCACCAGTTTGACTGGGATCGAAAAGTGGTAAAATACACTTTGCCAGGTGGAGGGACCGCTAGATTACGTAAGTTCAAAGCTAGTAGTCTGATTGAGTCTCACGGATGCATGTGTGCGGCCGTATTTTATAATTATTATAAGCAACATCAGGAGGAGGGTATGTATCTAGTTTACGTCTCTGCAACAGGCGAGCCGGTGAAAATGCCGCCGGAGATAGAGGGAGTAGTTGCCAAATACCCTGATATATTCCAAGAGCCAACAGGGGTTGTTGATAGGGAGGTCGTCCACGCTATAGAGATTATCCCAGGGTCTAGTATCCCTAAGGGTAGGATCTATAGGATGTCTCCAGGCGAGCTTGATGAGCTTCGCTGCCAACTCAAGGAACTCATAGAGAAGGGTTGGATCCGGCCGAGTGTCTCCCCTTATGGGTCTCCAGTTCTATTCGTTCCAAAGAAGGGAGACACTTTAAGGATGTGCATTGATTATAGGGGCCTCAATGCCATTACAGTGAAGAACAGGGAGCCCCTACCGCGCATCGATGATTTTCTTGATAGAGTGCAAGGGTGTCGGTACTTCAGTAAAATAGATCTGAAGTTTGGGTACCATCAGATTGCAATCCGGCCCGAGGATCAGCACAAAACCGCTTTTCAGACCAGGTACGGTCTGTACGAGTTTGTGGTGATGCCATTTGGCCTGTGCAATGCTCCCGGCACTTTTCAGCACGCAATGAATCGGATCTTTCATGACTACTTAGACAAGTTTGTTATCGTGTACCTCGATGACATACTTATCTTTAGTAGGACTGTCGAGGAGCACGTGGAACATTTAGATAAAGTCCTCAGTCTCCTTCGTCAGCACAAGTTCAAGATTAACGGTGAGACGTGTGAATTTGGCATCGCCCGTATCTTGTACTTGGGTCATGAGATTTCCGCGGACGGGTTGAAGCCCGATGACACAAAGGTGGCCAGCATTCGTGATTGGCCACGTCCTCAGTCTGTGACTGAGATGAGATCTTTCTTAGGGATGAAAGGCTACTATAGGACTTTCGTTAAGAACTATAGCATAGTGGCCGCCCCTTTGACTGATCTGACCTGCCTTGACACCCCATGGGAGTGGACAGACAAGTGCGAGGCTGCTTTCAGACATCTGAAGCATGCGTTGACGCACTATGAGGTCTTGAAACTTCCCGATCCTGACAAGCCATTTGTAGTTACCACGGATGCCAGCCAATATGGCATTGGCTCCGTGCTTGCGCAGCAGGAGGGGCCAAAGTTGAGGCCGGTCGAGTACATGTCCAAGAAAATGTCGTCTCAGAAGTTGGCAAAGTCCACCTATGAGAAGGAACTCTATGCGGTGTACAAAGCTCTGACCCATTGGAGACACTATCTCCTTGGGAGGTTCTTCATCCTCAAGACTGATCATCAGACCTTGAGATGGATGAAAACACAACCGGTGCTCTCTGACGCCTTGAAGCGTTGGATCGAAGTCATTGAGCAGTATGACTTTGACCCCCAGTATTTGAAAGGGGCGTACAACAAGGTTGTGGATGCCTTGTCGCGTAGACCTGATTTCTCAGGTGCGCTGATAACTGAGTTCGATCTGACGGACGATGTAACTCGTTCTTTGGTGGAAGCCTATCGCGAGGACCAGTTTATGTCTGAGATCATACGTAGACTAGAGGCGAAGGACAAAAAGACTTCTGCTGAGTTTGAGGTGGTCAACGACTTGTTGTTCCTTGAGAAGCCAGGGAATAAACGATTGTGTGTTCCAAATAGAGAGTCTTTGCGTAGTTTGTTTTTAGGCGAGTGTCATGATGCCACCGGCCATTTTGGGTACAAGAAGACCGCAACCAATCTGTTACAGCGGTTCTGGTGGCCCACGATGATGCGAGATGCGCAGTTGTACGTGGAGACATGTCAAGTCTGTCAAAGGGACAAGCCACGTACTCAGGCGCCTCTTGGGTTCCTGAAGCCCCGTCCGATCCCGGAAAGGCCTGGTGAGAGCCTGTCCATGGACTTCATGGATACGCTGGTCACAAGCAAGAGCAGGATGAGACACATCTTCGTCATCGTGGATAGGTTTAGTAAGTATGCTAGATTAGTAGCCATGTCGGAGACTGTGAAGACCGAGTACGTCATTAGATTGTTTAAAGAGAATTGGGTCAGGGATTTTGGTTTGCCCAAATCCATAGTAAGTGACAGGGATGTTCGATTCACTAGTGAGTTGTGGAAGGCCGCTGCTGCGGAGTAGGGAACCCAGTTGCAAGTGACTTCTGGGAATCACCCAGAGGCCAACGGCCAGGCGAGCAACTGAACCGCGTTGTACAACACCTGTTGAGGCATTACATCAAGCCCAACCAGGTGGACTGGGATGAGAAGCTTGCTCTCATCGCCAACATATACAGCAACGCTGTACACAGCGCTACCGGGGTAAGCCCAAACAACTTACTATTGACTTTCAAGCCTAGACTGCCCTTAGACTTCCTTCTTCCTGAGAATCAGTCAACTGCTGCACCAGGCACCTTAGAATTTGCCTATCGGTATGAACAAAAGATGCAGCAGGCGGTAGAACAAATGCAGAAGGCACAGGCGGCAATGATAGAGTCTGAGAATAAACACCGCCGCCCTTCTACGTTTCAGGTTGGGGACAGAGTCTGGGTTAAGTCCTCAGAACTGGGACAAGAGTACGGGATTTCACGCAAACTTATGCCTCAGTACTTTGGGCCTTGGGAAGTCTTAGATGTTGTTGGGATTGATCCGGATGGGCCATCTTATGTAGTCCGTATCCCTGGTCATCTTTGCACTTACCTTGTCTTTCACGCCTCTAAACTCGCACCCTTCAAGGAAACAGATGAGTTTCCTTCTCGTCGCTCAATGCTGCCCCCAACTATGGATGGAGAAGTGGACATTGATGACATAGTGGATCACAGGGAGTTGCCAGTTGCGAGATCCACAGGCAGGGGACGCCCTCCAAAGCCAAAGTTGCAGTACTGCGCTCGGTTTCGACATCATACTGATCCAAAGGAGGACCGCTGGTTCACCCGTGAGGAACTTATGCAGACCGCTCCTCAAGTTGTAGCGCACTACGAGAAATCTCTGCAGAAGGGAAAGCGCCAGGTTATCGAACACTGAACTTCTCAGAGGACTATCGAAGTTATGGAGGAGGGAATGCGAGGCGGAAGCCCCGATGAGCCCCTTTCAGGCCCTGCTATATATCACGTCGGCCGCCCTAAGTGAAGGCAGGCACGACGAGGGCCTGAGGGCCCCTATTTTGGTGACCACGCAACTCAAGGAAATTCAGGCAGTTGCGCAACGCCAGTTGGTTGAGAAAACTCAGTCCCTGGGCCACCTTAATGTATGAAAAGCAGGCCCTGGGCTGGGTACGGGTACTGGGCCAAACACAGGCCGTGGACAGTTGGGCGCGAGTAGCCACTACAGGCCCAAGGCCTGAGTTGTGTGGACTGGGCCTCAGCCTACCAGGGCCTACCAGAAGCTTCTTGGGAAAGACCCAGGGCAACTTGGGACAAGCAAGCAGGCAGGCCACTTCCATATAGCAAAGGGTCTACCTCCGCATTGGGCATTTGGGTGCTGGCTGCATGCTGCGCAAACGCTGCTGCGCTATTTTCTGGTTGGCGCCCACGCTCTCACAGGCGAGCAGGGAAGGAGCAGGCAGCCATAGCCGAGCTGCGCTGCTGTAAGCTGGGTGTGGCGCAGGGTGGTCCTTGGGTGCATGTGGCATTTATGTGTTGGGGAACGAGGTTGTGAGTGAAGCGAGAGACATACCTGGTGCTGGAAGCGTGCGGCATTGGTCGCTATCTGCTCGTACTTCGGTGAAGCTGTTGTCGTCATCTTCGGCATTGTAGTTTAGGCTAGATAGGATCTGCCATCTGTAGTCTGGGTGCCGAGCGCCAGATAGGATATCAACATTGGTTCTTCGTTGATGATGATGATGGGACTATTTCAGCATTGTCAATTATGAACTCTTGGTGGGTTCTTATTTGGTGAAACTCGTGATGCAATTCTACTGTTAGTTCGAGGTCACGATTATCTAGTCTTATATGTATGATGCTGTTTGATTGCTGAAGTTCGCTATTGCTCATCTTCCTTGTAGGAGTGACAAAAGGTCAACAAAAAGTGTATGAACTAAATAGGGTTCGATGAAGTGAAGAAAGTGTGATTTTTAGTGAAAGCTTTATGGGAGATTTAAAGAATCCAGAAAATCAAATTAAGAGAATATATATAATAGTCCATCCATGAGTAGGAGGATGGCTGAGAGATTTTATGGTTGATTCTCCTTCAAGTGGAAAGAGGTTTTAAAAGTTTTTATGGAATGCTCACCCTCAAGAGAGGGGGGATGGCTTAAAAAGATTTTATGGAGTTGGAGTTTTATCCTCGGCCAAATCGGCAAATCCACTTTGTTAGCTCTCAGCGGTCGGTAAGGGTGTCATCTGAGGCAGGGAAACCTGTCAAGTTCGGGAGTCCTTGCTTGGCCAGTGGTTGTGAGTCACAGTTGATTTTGTGTGTGGCGGAGGGTAGGGAAAAAACCGTTCAAATCGGCATCCCCGCTTGCGTAGTCATGTAATAGTTGGTAAAGGCAACACAGGCGATGAGGAAGTCTGTTGTTTCTAAGTCCTTCACAACAGGGAAACCTGTCAAGTTCGGAAGCCCTTGCTTGGCCAGTGGTTGTGAGTCACAATTGGTTTTGTGTGTGGCGGAGGGTAGGGAAAGAACTGTTCAAATCGGCATCCCCGCTTGCATAGTCATGTAATAGCTAGTAAAGGCAACGCAAGCGATGAGGAAGCCTATTATTTCTAATTCCTTCACTTAGCTTATTATAGGCCACAAACGGTCTAGTCTGTGATGGTGACTTCCATGATTACGACTCCTAGAGAGATTTAAGTTTTGACTAAATGTCGGTGGGGGTGTCGTCTGCGGCAGGGAAAACCCACCTGATTTTTGGACCCTCCAATCGACTTTAATTTTGGTTGAAAATGGCATTGTCGATAAGTGTACAATTTTGAGAAGTACAAACCTTGAGTTTATTTGGAAGAAAGATTGTGAGAACTTGGTCACTAAGCGAAACTTATGGATGATAAATTATGTGGTGAGAGAGAAGAACCCTACTGATAAAAGTAGGATTCCATGAAAAAAAGGGGTGGATTTTATTTATTTTTGAAAGCTTAATAAATACCCCTGTCCACTCGTTTTATGAGTGTCTGAAATTAGTGACTTACATGTGTTAATAAGGACCATGAGAATGGGCTTAACGGGGCCCTACCCATAAGGTACATGTGTGCCATGTGTAATCGGGTCAACCACCCTAATCTTTTGGTTAGATGAAAGATTGAGGTGTCTAATTAATCCCCACAATGGGGTGTTTCTTTAGGGAAGAGCTCGCAAAGGAGTGTATAGAACATGTTATTCGTTAAAATAAGACATTATATTGTGTTCTCTTTTGAACGAATTCAGTTTCGGCTACAACCTAAGCAATGTAGGCATGGCCATCCACTCGGCCCATATGCGGAAGTGTGTTGAGATCCATACTTGTTTATAATAGTAATAAGCAAGGTATGCCCGATATGCAATTTGTTTATAATTGTGACGACCAAGGCCCCTTGATTGTATCCTTGTCGTTGAAATTCGACAAGTGTGCTGAGATCCGTACTTCTTTAGGATTGTGATGAGCAAGGCGGCTTAATTGTATCCTTCTTGGCCAAGCTCACTTCCACTATTCTGAAGTAACGTAGGCATGTCCATCCTCTCGGCCGAAACAATTAATACTTATATGGATGTTTGGTGAGATTCCGTCTTCTTTAGAATGCTTAGTATAGCAACTGGCATGCCCAGGCACTTGGCCCACATGCGGAAGTGTGTTGAGATCCATACTTCTTATACTTCAAAAATTTAATGAGCAAGGCGTCACAACCGAATCGATGTTGGATAACACTTTTATGAAGCGTATTGATTGTCTCCTTGTTGGACAAGCTTGCTTCGGTTATCTTTTAGTAACATAGGCATGTCTATCCTCTCGGTCGAGACGGTTATATGGATTCGGTGAGATTTCGTGTTCTTTAGAAGGCTTAGTATGGCGACAAGCACGGCCAGGCACTTGGCCAACATGCGGAAGTGTGTTGAGATCCATACTTGTTATACTTTAGAAGACTTAGTATAGTGAGAAGCACGCCCAGACACTTAGCCAACATACGGAAGTGTGCTGAGATCCATACTTGTTATACTTAAGAAATTTTATGAGTGTGGTGTCCTAACCGAACTCATGGTGGATAATACATTTCCGAATGCGATCGCTATTGCACTTTATTCAGCAAGGTGTCGTCCGGTGGATAATACATTTCCGAATGCGATCGCTATTGGACTTTATTCAGCAAGGTGTCGACCTCTGACAAGGACAACTTTTCTGATTTCGTATAAGAACCAGACTTCTTCAAGTGATGCAATGTATGTTTGATAATATCTGGACTTATTTCGCTATGTGATGAAATGCATACAAAGAGGGGGGTTGATTTTATTGGCAAGCAACATCTGCACTTGAGCAGGCCATTCACAGAAGTCCCGGACATGAACACGAAGTTATTTGTTAAATGCACTGTAGGCAATCACAAACCAAGTGATGGTCGCGTAATGAACTGCACACCGACGCACTTATCGGGAGTTGTTATGCATGGGCACACCAATTTATTATATCGCACAAGAAATTCGGATATCATCTGATTTCAATTCTTATGCACACTCTAGGTTCTTATATGTGAAATTCGAAGAAAAGAACGCAACAAGAATTTGTCCCACCGCACGAGAAACGATGCAGATGACAAAGACTACAAATGTCGCCATACAGACAACGACCATCCTAAACAGCACTCGAAATTGAGTGAACAAAAGAGAACGAAGTTGCACTGAGAAAGGCAGTGGAATAATGTCATGTATAACAAAAAACAATCGCTATTGAATGAAATACAGTCAAAAGAATGTACAGAAGTCATGGAAATCAATCAAAGACAATGGTGTTCCAAAAGACATGTTGCCAATTGTCGTTTAATTACAGGGATATCTTCAGAAGAGAACCTGAAAGGTGGTCGATCACCACGTTGCAACAACGTTGCAAACGTCAACATGAACACCCCGCAACTAGCTCCATCAACTTGTCTCGGAACTCCTTCCACAACAACGTTCCCCGCCATAGACTTCCAACTCCTAGGCGACCGGCTATGTGAGGTATGATGTTCTAAGTATTGTACAATCAACTCAAAAACACTAAGGTAGAAACGCGAATCTGCTATAATGCGAGGACAGGAGTCGAAAATCTCGAAGACATTGTCCCTCAAATTGACGGAAAGGAGGATCCAGTGATCATTGTCTTTGTGCACCGGAACGAAGATCACATCGAAGTGAAGCAGATCTACATTCTTAGCCCACCTTTCCACCACACCGTGTCCATGGAGTTGCAGCTTACTGAAGAAGAACGAACTGAAGTTGAAGACTCGAAGGCCTGATGATGTTTGACGTGTCACGCATGCAGACGACCCCAAAAGCGCCATGTAGAAATTCACCACCTCATCGTTGAGCTTCCCATCGACAAGCAAGACGGTGAGCAGATCTTTAGCTGTGATTCTCACTTGATCATCAACGAAAGTAGATAGAACATGATGAGGTATCACCAAGCCTCAGGATATGTCACCCATAACCCTTAAGACTCGAGGCGCAATCGCTTTATCGAAAGTCCCCGCGCAGGCTCCATGTGCTCTGGGGCGAAATGCACATCATCGACCAACGCACACGCTGGGTTGTGAGAAACGGTGTTCCAAAGATTGTCCCTCATCGCGCGATGCTTTGCTAAGTATTTTTCATACATGGCATGACCCCGAGTCACAGATTGGGGATACGTCCCCTTCTCCGGAGGCAGAAGGGAAAGACATTCATCAGTGGCCACAGCATGGTGCTTCTCCCCAATCTCGACATCAACCCCTGATGCCTTTAACATATTCTTGTGTCTTGTCGTGAACCCGGGGACCTTCTGCAATATTCGTGCCGGATATTTCGAGAAATTGGAGGACCTCCTTTTCCGAGTCGACCCTACCCCTGTAAACAAAAGAAAGACAGAACCCGAAATGAATATACGATTCGATTAAAGTTGAAAAGTAAAACAATGACATAGCCATCCAGATGATGGCCTCTCCAACCAGCGGAGTTTGTCATCACATGGTCGTGTGCAGCGAGGAGCATGTGAGCCTTTGGACATGAAGACGAGGAGCGCAGTCGAGCCTGAGACCCCTGCACAACGCGAAGCAAGACCACGTCAGGCCAAACAGGAGGGAAGTCGACAAACGATGAAGTCTGGATTCCGGCGGACTAGAAGCCACAACGGGCAGACACCGACCAACCACGTCCGGCCCTGACATTGGAAGTGAGGATACCGACGCACTAAAAAGATCGGACCTCCGGAAGGTCTGTTTTTTGTACACCGCCGGTGTCGTCACGACCAGTGTCGGTGAGAGATGGAAAGTCGGCACTTGCCCATGTGCGGATGTCGGTGGAGTATCTGAGACTAAGCACATCACGCACCCACAATAGAAGTGTGGACACCGGCGGACTTAAACAACCAGCAGATAGAAGGGTGATTTATCTTCTCGGCAGGGGTTGTTTGGTCCGCCGGTATCCACACTTGTTTTGCCGAGGGGTAACGAGTTCAGTATCTGTGTGCAGGTCGTGGATGAAAGTCCGCCGGAATGTATACTTAACCATGTGCTAGCTCTTCTCATGTCGTGGACGATGGTAGTGCGGATACCGGCGTACTACAACGACTTGTCCTGCCAACGAAAGAATAGCACACTCCAGACGAGGCGGATAGGTCAGGTGTGTCGTACCGGAAGGACCCATTGTTATAGTCCGCCGGTATCCGCACTTGTTGTGTCGAGGCCAATACCGGTTGATCTGTATGTGGCCATTGGGGTTCGAATTTCGGCGCAGCGCGAACTGCGGCAAGTGTCCGCAATCCTCTTCTGTGGCCACACAGACTTCCGTCTTTGCTACCGTCCATGGGAAGGCAGAACTTGTCCTCGCCTCAACGACAAGATGGCTGACTGACATCGTTGGCCCTCAAGAGACGTTGGCGTGCAGACGTGGCGGAGATCATGAACGCTTACCAGCCGGTTTTTCCCTTCGTTCCTTCATCGGCGACCTGAGCGCGGGTAAGGCGAGCACCGCGAGAGGCGGAGTGGCCACCCTGGTTTTTTTCGGGGATGTCACATGTTGGCAGCCGGCAACCCCTACCCCCACTGTGCCAGGGAAGGCGTCCGCTAGTGTCGGAGAGCAGGGCGACGGGACCGCCAAGTCGGCGCCCACGGAAAGATCGGTGTCGACGCGGCCGACGTTTTTCGTAGGCGGGGACGGAGTTGATATGGCGTGTTGTTTGCCGAATTTGCAATCAGTGACGTCGTTGACGTCCATTCAACGATTTGTTTTCGTCTGGCTCCCTGCCATGGCGACCTCGTCGCACCCGTCCTGGAGATGCACTGCCGGTGCCAGCGGGTGCACGTCATAGGCATCTAGGTCTGCGGAAAGTCCAGTGGCCACCTGAGTCTCCATTTCCATCGTCGTCGCGTCATCGTCGACATCACCTCCGCGTTGCATCGTGTACAACTGTCCGAACGAGTCAGACGACTCTCCGCAGCCAGCATCTTCTCCACCGTCCATTGTGTTCTCCTTCACGCAACAAAATTGAATCCCTTTCCCCCTCTTTCGCTCCTCCCCCATCTTCTTCCCATTCCTGTTGTTCTTGGTCGTCCTCCACTTGCACCCATTCTTCCCCCCCGTCCCTCTCGCGCAGTTCGGCTCCTTCCACCGGCTCATCGCCGACTCCCGCCGACAAGTCTTCTATCCCCGCACACGTCTCATCTTCCGCCCACTCGACGACCTGTGACTGCATGCCCGTTCCCCAGCAAGTTCGGATACCGGCGGAGTTCGAATTGCAGAGCACAGACGACGCCCCGCTATCCAACCGTGCGTTGGACTCCGTAGGCGGCCCGTCTCCGACGGCCGACGCAGTCCCCTGCCGCGTAGGAAAGTCGTCGGACGTGGCACAGGACGAAACCGAAGTGAGGATTCCGGCGGACTTCATTTTGGCACCCGCTTCCGACACTTTTGCTCCTGTAGCGCTGCGCAGGACGGGTTCCCCATCGTGCACCTCATGAGTCTTGGTTCGGATAACAACGGACTCGTACTTGACGCCGGTGATTGGAACCCCCTCATTTGAGCCTCTCCCGATGCCAACGGAGGCGGCGAAAGCAGTCGTCGAGGGGATGGCCGACCAATGTGTGGTCGATGTAGTGCGGATGCCGACGGACTTCGCAGCGTCCGAAGGCGCTGGCTCCTCGTTCTGAGAAGTTCGGATGTCGGCGACCAATTTGCTGGCCCCCTCGGTCGTCTTGTCAGCAACGTTGAACACCCCAACCTGGCCGCCGCTTTCCAATGTTTTGCCCTGGTCGTGAGTGCCAACCGATCCCCCTGACGCGGTGCCCTCTCCTTTCCCCTTGCCGCTACCCTCATCCGCTCCCCCCCCCGGAGGGCCTGGAGGTCCCCCTCCCGCACTCGCCTGCGGCCCCGTCGTAGGGGGGACCTTCCAGTCCACGCTTCCCTTCGAAGGACTCGCATCGAAGTCGTAAAACTCGTCTGAGAGTTCCAACCACCCCTTGTCTTGAAGCTCCAGAAACAAGCGATCAGCGTGGTCAACGACGGCCGGGTCGGTTGCCTGGAGATGGGGGTTCTCGGACGCCACTTTATCCGCCACACCACTGCTTGCGAGTTGCAAGTACTCGGACTTGGGAAGGCGCGAGCATGGCTCCCACTGCCCAGCCGAGTCCACGACGACCATGATCCACTCCCCTTTGCGGATTGAAGGCTGGATCGTTCCCGGGTGCCAAATCATGTCGTGACCCCAGTCTGCTTCACTAGAACGAGTGTGGTCGTGCCCTTCAAAGTGAATGGAATCATCCTTCCGAGAAGGATGTTCCGATGGGACTGCACTCCCTGGACGCAAGCGAGGCGGGGCAACAGTTCGGGGTGTGAGTTTCGCCAACAGCTTGCTGGGGGTCTTGCCGGGGGTGGACCTGCGAACGGGCGCCGTTGGACTGGCCTGGCATGATGACGCACCTGCCGTCAAGGAACCCGGGGATGGAAGAACAGGAGCAGGGTGGTAATTTAGGGCGATTTCCTCGGTGTCGCTATCCTCCTCCGGAACATTGGTGTCGAAAACGACTCCGGTCGATGCCTCTTCGTCCGTGTCAATCAATGCACTGTAACTCGCGACCCTGAGCTCCTGCTCCGGCTCGACAAAGTACAAACACTCCAGTCGGTCCAGGAAGTTCTTCGCGTTCAAACGCGAGGCGCCATGGTAGTTGTCCAGCAATGCCAACATGTGCTCCTTGCGGCGAATATACTCAGGGTCGCTGTCCCTCCTAGGCCGCGTCTCCAGGAAGAGGAACTCGTATATCCTGTCCCTTTTCCTCTTGCTTAGCTTCAACCACATGTCCGTGGACGGCTCCCAAGCGCGTTTCGGTTTGTCGGTCCTCGAAATGAACTCGCAGCGGTGGGCTCCAGAGTTGACCGCGCTTTTCAGGAAATCCAACGTGTATTGCAGCAACTCCGAATTCCCCTCCAACGCGATGACGTTGCGATCGCCCTTCAAAGCCTCCCACACGACTTGCGCGTGCGCCTTCCCGAGAAACATGACACCCTCCCCTTTTTTGCACACGAATTCCAGCTGATGGGCCAAGTGCGTGAGGTTCCGTTCCATGTCCTTGTAAACCTTGGGTTCACGACCAGGTATGACCAGGGGCCATTCACAAGGGTCGAACGACATCTCCGAGACGTCCGTCGGGGTGACTTTGACATGTGCCCCAACAGCAGCAACATCACCCGCCCCCAACCTCGCGTCGTAAACCACAGACGTGTTCTCCCGCAAGTCGTCACCTTTGAAGAGGATGTACATGCGGTCGTCCAATGAGTACAAGTTGTTGCCGGCCGCGAAGCTTTTCTTCTGCTGCATCCTCCTCACCCACTTTCCTGCCATTGCCTTGACAACGGACAAATGGCGTAGACTGGTCATGAAGTAGTAGTCGTGCTCCCGGGGGACGAAAGCAACGACCGTCCAGTGCGAAGGGAACAAATGTTCTAGAAGGGCATTCAAACTCTCGAAAGCTTGCTGTGTCCACATTGTGATATCCACAAGCTCGCACAAATCAAGAACGACAGTGTGGCATTTCGTGATCCCAACCGCTTTCTCCAACTCGACGACCTTCATCTGCGCCTCCAGAGGATCGACGCCGAAGGGGGCGATGGATGTCACGTCTCCCGAGTCCCGCCACCGAATGTGCACCATGACTTCGGCAAGCGCGACATCCATGCTTTTCGACCTGCTGCCGGTCAGCACGGAAAGGACCTTGTTCTTCCAGTCGATGGACAACTTCTTGTTGTGAACCAGTTTTTCTGTCGCCTTGATCGACTTGTCGTCCTCGCAGCCCATAAACGGGGGACAGTCTCTGAACAACGATGAGCCTCCAACGAGTTTCCTGCTTCCGTCCCACAATGCTGCATCCAGCGCCTGGCTTTTGAACTGTCCCAAAATCGCCTCTCTTTTCCGCAGGAAGGGATACGAACGCGTCCAATCAGAGTCAGACCGATTCTCATACTTAAACTGGTAGTAGTTCCATAACCGCACCAAAATGCGGTCGCACTTCACCAGTTGCACTGCCTCGTGCATCCCCAACTTCCCTTGCTTTGCCAACGCAGAGGAGCCGGTCTGCACCCACACCACCTCGCAGTTGAGAACCTTTTTCAGCAACCGACATTTCTCATTGTCTGTTAAGGCTTCCATGCTTTTCCAGCAGTGCGGATCCGGCTCGGTGACTTGGACGAACCAGTCGCCAGACGCCTTTTCTTTTTTTCCTTTCTTTTAGGCGCTTCGACGGGGATGTTGTAGACGACCTCCTTTCGCCCGGCCTTATCATTTTCGATGTGGCTCACACCGGCCTTCACATCCTTCACCTTCTCCTTCTTCGCGATCCACTTCGCCCCTTCGGGTGCCAGCAGTCTGCCCGTCTCCCATTTCTCAAAAAATTCCATTCCCATTTTCCAGGCACTTTCCCCGGCCATCGCAAGCGGGAAATAAGATCGAAGGGCAGCGTTCTGCTTCCTTATGCCTTGCTCGGTCTTGTCGTCAGCGAGTATTCACAAATGATTGTACGGCGTCTTTTGAAGCGCATCTGTACAAAACCTGCGCCACGCCTCCACCTGAGCCTGTTTTCCGCTCGGGTTCCCCATAACAGCTCTGGGGTAACCCTTTTCCTTCCAACACCACCGGATGTTCTTCATCGAAAGTTTCTGCTGTCTGGGAGGCGCCTTCAGGTCCTTCTTGTTGTACTCGGCGCTGACCAGAAAATACCCTTTGAAGTCCGCGTCGGAGAAGTACACCATTCGTGCAGGCCACCTCTCGAAGTTGTACCTGACCGCCACGTCTGTGCCAAGCAGCTTCCTGGCGGCGGTCGCGTTGTGCTGGCCGGCAACAGCGTAGTAGTAGTATTGGTCTGCCAGCTCGTCCTTCCAGTCCTCGGGCTTCAGACGGACTGCACGCACCCACGACTTCGGTTTCTCTAGCCCCAGCGGCCCTAGCTTCAGTGTGGGCAGCTCGTACGTCTTCTCGGCCTGCGAGTAGGCCGTCGTCATGGCGTCGATGATCAGCTGTGTTTGCACCGGATCCAAGGAACGCTGGTTGTACCCGGCTTCCCACTCCCCGATGTCGACGACTTGCGACGGGTTAATGGGGATCTCCCGCTTTGTGCGCACGCCGTCTTTCCATTCGAGGAAATACGCCGCATCGATGTCGATGGGAGCCCTCTGCTGCACAGGGCCGGACAGGGGCTGAATCTGCGCCGAGGATGGGCGTTTGTGACTCGCAGCGTCCACATGCCCCTCCCCTCCCTTCCTTTTTCCCCCTGACGTCTGCGGGGCCTGAAGCTGCCGCCGCTACTCCACGAGAATCTCCCCTTCTCTTTTGTGAAGACTGTTGTTCACCCTCTTCTCCCCCGGACACGACGCCAGCAGGCCTCCCCCCCGACCCCATTGTGTGACCCCCGGCTGACGTCGAGGGCTGCTCCTGAACCGGTGTTCTTTTCTCAACCCCCGGAATGCTCAGCACCCTGCGGTCTCCCCCTCTTACCGGCGAATTCCCCGTCCTCTCCTCTTCTTCCTCCTCGCTATCGTCGAAGCGACCGCGTTCCTTGCCGAGGTGGAGTTGGAACGAAGCACCGGAACCCAAATCTCCTCCCTCGGACGGAGCACCGCTGGATTCGAACCCAGTGCACATCTGCACAGGTTGCGACAGTGCCAGGTTGCATGAGATCTGGCACGGTTCATCAAGGTGGACGTCATTCGTTTCCACCAAGTCGAAGAACTCCCTAGCGGAAACAACACCTTCAGCCGCGAGTTGTGTGTAGAAAGGGGTCCTCAAAGCCCCTGCACCAAACCCCTGGAACAGATCCCACGACAGGGCCGCCCCTTTGGAAGCAGCCACGATGCCGCCCTTCGAATTGTAAATCTCGTGCAGCTTGAAATACATCTTGTCGTGACTCCTAGCCGCCTGCCATCCCTCCACCGAACCAAGCACTCTCCGGGGTCTACTGTCTTCCACGAATAGAACAGGACCGCAAGGCCCTCTCGTGGGGTCGTTCTCATCCCCGCAGCACCAATCGACATACCATTTCGCGCGGACATGATCGGACCAGGACTTTTTGGTCGTTGATTCCCTCCCCGAGGTCCCCGTAGGCTGTTCCTCGCCCCTTGACGTAGACATTCTGTCTGCACTAGCCCAAACGAAAGAAGCATCGGGACACACAGAAAGCACAAACAATCAGCACAAACGAGAAGTTCGGATGCTGGCGGACTAGCTATGATGCAGCACACAAAAACAAAATTCGTGGCGTGTACTAAACACAACAGGCACTAAGCGGAGGTGCGTTGCCGTCGAACGTCGAAGACAGAGGGTCAAGGCGACCGTGCCGTCCGAGACTGCTGCCCCGCATATGTTGCATGTGCGGATACAGGCGAACTTCGTCCGCCAGAAGTGAAGACGCCCTCCAGACGTCCTCGCCTGCACAGCGCCAGGAAATGCTCTCAACAGAGAACAGCTCTCCAAACCCGCACGCCCTTGTAGACCGAACCTAGGGGGCAGAACAGGGACAGTGAACGAATGGAGAACCCGTGTGCGAACTGCGGATACCGACGAACTTTTGTCAACTCCTCGGTGCGCTGTATCACAGGATGTGCTGACACGGAGAGGGGTCCTTTTCGGAAGTTCTTGCCAGCACATTGTTGCTCGCCATATTCCGGAACACGACGATGGGGGACCGAGAAGGTCGAAGAGACACGAAACGAAGAACGATCTGGCGAAGACATTAACGAAGTGCGGATACTGGCGAACTTCCTAATTGCTCAGGATGTGTGGACGCAGAGAGGGGGCGGTTGAGAAGTGGTCGATGGCACGTTCTTGAAGAAATATGCCCAACATCCCCAACCACAAGACGCCGGGGCTCGAGGACCTCGTATCAACACGGAAGGAACAACGATTTCACGGAATGAACTGACGAAGTTCGAATGTCGGCGAACTTCACAAATTGCGCATGCCATGTTGTGCCTTGTTAGCCGAGAGGCTCGCAAGGAGTGCGGACCACCCGAGCAAGGATCACCGACATACTGAGTGCGACTGCGTTCATCCTGATACCTCCGTGACCCCAGTTGACCCCAGTTGCGATTGAGCATCTTGAAGGACTGCCCAAACAACTGATAATCTGTGGGATCCGGGGGGGTGCTCTGTTTGTGGAGTGCAAAACTCTGCTCGAAACAGACCCAGATCCAACAAGAAGGCCAACCAACCTGACCCCAGTTG